AAAGAGTTGACACTGAAAAACTTGGGAATGGGGAAGTTTAGTGCCTTTTCCCTATGGAATTCAGGCTGTTTCCTGGGAAATCATGACTGAGTCTTCAGCAGGGAATTAGACTCCAGGTTTTTCCTTCCCTGTTTGGTTTGCACATCACTTCCATCCTGCTTTGCATGGCCATCTCTGCTTCCAGGTGGGATTTGCACCATTCCTGGTGATTTTCCCAAATCCAAACTACTCCAGGGAGGGAAATCCTGGAAGGATCCTCTCCCACCTGGAAAACTGGGACCAGTTTGGGTTCTTGAGGAGAAAAAGACCTGGAATGAGTCTAGTGGAAGACTTTGGTTTGCACATCACTTCCATCCTGCTTTGCATGGCCATCTCTGCTTCCAGGTGGGATTTGCACCATTCCTGGTGATTTTCCCAAATCCAAACTACTCCAGGGAGGGAAATCCTGGAAGGATCCTCTCCCACCTGGAAAACTGGGACCAGTTTGGGTTCTTGAGGAGAAAAAGACCTGGAATGAGTCTAGTGGAAGACTGGGAAGATGAGGAGAACCTGGAGCACTTCCCTTAGGAAGGAAATTGGAATATGGGAAGTTCCACTGGAACCTAAGGAATAACTTTCCTGTCTCTGGTACTTCAGTTATGGTTTTAGGGAATCATTTTTTTAGGGAATACAGATGTTTCTATCCCAGTTTAGGTGCTGTTCCTACCCTTCCTCATCCCTAGGGAATGAATTTTCTTGGATACTTCCATTTCTATGCAATCCTGGGGTGATTCCAGGCTTCCCAAAATCTGGGATAAGCTTCAGGATGTCACAAAAATGAGTTGAGCCTGGAAGTTAGACCTTGGGAATGAAGGATTTTAGGGATTGGAAGTGACAGGAATGATGCTGTGGAGCTCCTCCCCCTTGGAATTTTCAGGTATGGCCCTTGGAAGTTGGAATTTAAGGGAGATTTGTGTGGAATTTTCTCTTCAGTGTTGGGGAAAAAACCCTTAAACACTAGGGAATGTCTGACAAGAGGTTTGGTGTCCACAGCTCCCAAATCTTGGAGCTTCCCACACCTCAGGGAAAATTCCCACAGGATTTTTTTTTCCCAATTTTTATCTATGGTGTGGCTTCCCAGGGTTGGGAATTTGTTGCTTTGAGAAGATGATGAAATTCCAATCATTTCCTTGAGGCTGGAGCAGTGAATTCCTTTCTCCTTCCTATGCTCTTCCCTCTTTTTTTTTTTTTTTTTGGTGGAATTGGGAATTCCATTCTGAGGAATTAACAGGGAAGAAAAATACCTTCTCCCTGTGGTGTGATATTTCCTGAGGTATTTCCAGTCATGGGAACAGGATCCCAAATCCAGGACATGGAGGAGCTGGAGCATATCCAGGGATGGGAATGGAAAGCTGGGAAAGAGCTGGAAAACTTCCAAAGAGCAGCTGGAATGGCTCAGCTCAGGGAGAATCCCAAGGAAATGGGAAGTGCAGCCAGGTGGGATCAGGATCTTCTCCCAAGGAATTAGGGCCAGGATGAGAGGAAACACCTCAAGGGAAGGTTTAGTTGGGATACTGGGAAAATTCCCTCCTGGAGTGGATCTCCTGCACAGGGCAGGGATGGAGTCACATCCCTGATCCAACATCCCTATGGATGTGGCACTTGGGATCATGATCCATGTTGACCTTGGCAGTGCTGGATGAGCCACTAGGACTCCAAGAGCTTTTCCAACCTCAGAATTCCATGATTCCTCATTCCCAGTGTGCTGAGCTGCATGCCAGGACCTTCCTGCAGGTACCAGAATTCCCAAGAGGAATGTTTGGCTCTGGAATGTGCCATGCCTGAGGCTGCTTCTCCTTGCTCCATGTTTTTCCATGCATGTGGATCTGCTTCCTACCTCTTGATTCCGACTGAAATCCTTTTCCATCTTTCCCTGCCGATCCCACCGTGCTCCAAACCTTTGCCCCATTCCAGCAGAAGAATTCCAAAAACAAGGAAGCTGTTCCTGCTCGTGCCAAGAGGCAGTCAGGACGTTCTGCCGTAAGTTTTCCAGACTCGGCATGTCGGGAAAGGATGTGGTGGGATAAGGAAATTCCTACCAAAAGGATGGAGCCAATTGCTCCATCCTCACCAGGAGGAAAAACGTGGTTGTAGTTCCTTGGATAATCCTGGAGAATTAGGGAGTTGAGGTTCTCCAAGGTGTTCCCAGTGCAGATCCATGGGATGTCCAGGGATTTGGAGACCTTCCAGAGCTTGAATCCAAGGAAAATGTGGGTTTGGAGTTGAGAGGGGTTTTAGGGTGTTTCTCCCTGTTTTTTGGGGGGATGGAGAAGGTCTCTTGGACCTTGTTGCTCCAGGTGTTTCCCAACCCCATCCTTGGAATTTTTCCAGGCCAGGTTGGATGAGGCTTGGATCAACCTGAGCTAGTGGGAATTATCCCTTGGAGTTGGAACTAGATGATTGGAATTGGATTTTTTGCTGCTTCTCCCTCTTTTTGGGGGGATGGAGAAGGTCTCTTGGACCTTGTTGCTCCAGGTGCTTCCCAACCTTATCCCTTGGAATTATTCCAGGCCAGGTTGGATGAGACTTGGAGCAACCTGAGCTAGTGGGAATTGTCCCTTGGAGTTGGAACTAGATGATTGGAATTGGATTTGTCAGTGCTTTTCCCTCTTTTTGGGTGGATGGAGACCTTGTTGCTCCAGGTGCTTCCCAACCTTATCCCTTGGAATTATTCCAGGCCAGGTTGGATGAGACTTGGAGCAACCTGAGCTAGTGGGAATTGTCCCTTGGAGTTGGAACTAGATGATCCTGAAGGTCCTTCCCAACCCTTTCCATGTTTCACACCTTTTTCCCTTTCCCTGTGCCTTAGATTCCTTATATTCCCTAATTTCCCACTCTTCTTCCCACCTCAGCTGCAACCAAATCCACCTTGGAATGATGTGAGGGAGAACTGATTCTCTCCTGGATATTCCCTCAGGAATGTCACTTCCAAGCCTGAATCCTCTTATTTCCTTTCCCTTTGCTGCTTGGAATTGATGGATAAGGCCCAAAAACCAAAGGAAAAGCTCCTTTTTTTTTTCCCTGTTCCAAGACACATTTAGAGCTGGAGCACAGGAATTATTCCCTTGGGATGTGTTTCAAGTGTCTTGGGAGGAATTAAAGGCTGAGCTGGGAATAGTGGGAGCATAGAAATCCTGGGATGTTTTTCCAGCTTTCCCATGTGTGAGGTCATTCCAGTGCCTCAGTGGGTTGGGAGAAGAAAACAAGAAGCTCCAAACCTTTTTGTGGAATTTTCTGTCATCTTTGTGCATGTCTCGTGGAATTTTGGGATGTGAGAGTGGGGGGAAAAAACTAGACTTTATCCTTTGCCAGCTGAAATTCCTCAGGATTTGATTCCATGCTTCATTTCCTAGAGCTACTGCTTTGCTTTGGAGCTTCCTTTTGGAAAGGCTTTAGGGAAAATACCCATGTTTTTAGTTCTGCTCTCCAGTTTTCCTCCTCCCTGCGGATGTGACTCTGCTTTGCTTCATGGAATTTTCAGGAAGGAGCAGATCCAGCTCTGGTTTCATCCCAGTTTTCCTCCTTGCAGAGCTCAGGCACAGCCTCCTCCGGAGCTGCTCCTGACCAGAATGAACTCCTATCCCGAATTTCCCACCTGGAGGTGGAAAACCAAAACCTTCGCAGTGGTAAGTGGGAAAATCCTTGTCCTCATTCGGGAACTCTCATGGAATCTGCAACATGAAGTGATTCTGCTCCTGTTTCCCTCCCTTCTCCCTCTCCCTTCTCCCTCTCCCTTCTCCCTCTCCCTTCTCCCTCTCCCTTCTCCCTCTCCCTTCTCCCTCTCCCTTCTCCCTCTCCCTTCTCCCTCTCCCTTCTCCCTCTCCCTTCTCCCTCTCCCTTCTCCCTCTCCCTTCTCCCTCTCCCTTCTCCCTCTCCCTTCTCCCTCTCCCTTCTCCCTCTCCCTTCTCCCTCTCCCTTCTCCCTCTCCCTTCTCCCTCTCCCTTCTCCCTCTCCCTTCTCCCTCTCCCTTCTCCCTCTCCCTTCTCCCTCTCCCTTCTCCCTCTCCCTTCTCCCTCTCCCTTCTCCCTCTCCCTTCTCCCTCTCCCTTCTCCCTCTCCCTTCTCCCTCTCCCTTCTCCCTCTCCCTTCTCCCTCTCCCTTCTCCCTCTCCCTTCTCCCTCTCCCTTCTCCCTCTCCCTTCTCCCTCTCCCTTCTCCCTCTCCCTTCCCTCCCCCTTCTCCCTTCTCCCTTCTCCCTCTTCCCTCCCCTTCTCCCTCTTCCCTCCCCTTCTCTCTCTTCCCTCCTCTCCATTTTTTCCCCCTTTTCCCATCTTCTCTCCTCCTTTTCCCCCTTTTCCCAGTTGTTGCAGACCTCCAGATGTCCATCTTCAAGCTGGAGAGTCGCCTGAACGCTCTGGAAAAATCCTCTTCATCCCACCAACCCTCACCAGTTCCTCCAACCCAGGTGTCCAATTCCATCTGATCCATCATCTCCTCCAACATCCTCTTTTCATGGCTTCTCCACCCAAACCAAACCATGTGCTGCTCCATACTCTGGAGCAGTACAAATTCCCATTCCTCAGCTTTTTTTTT